GATGTTCATTTTCGCCAGATATTCGTCTTTTTTAAGAATGACATATATTGGCGACTTGTCACCTCTCCTGACAACTATCTCCTTGTTCTCACGAAGGCTTTTAGCTGCCGCTTTAAGCTCGGGGGACAGTATGGTGCTTCTGTAGTTGCCTCGATTCTTTCCTCCTTCTGCAATAAGTTCTGCTTGTAAGGTATCTTTGGTAGTGACCTTCTTTTGTGTCTCGAGGTCGAATATGTCGTCCAACAGAATTTCCAACTCTACTTTCCGGGCCATTTCAACTCTGTAGGGTAAGGCAGGTTCTAGTCAATAACGGCTTCTCCAATGGTTTCATCGAAGACATCATAAGAAGGAAAGTGAAAAGCCATGCAACCTCTGAAGAGACAACTAACACAACACCTATACCCCCTATTAGACTATTTTACAGGAACTTCTTTTCCACAGCTCATAAAACGGAGGAAAGGGTCCTGAAAGATATTGTTAATAGAAACGTTATCCCTACAGACAAAAATCAGAGGATACAACTGACGATTTACTATAAAACCAGAAAAACGGCCAGCCTACTCATGAGAAACTCTCCAGACACAAAACAGAACGCTTTAAAAGAGACTAACGTCGTCTATGCCTTCAAATGCCCACTTGGGGACTGTAAGCACCAAAAAACCCAGTATATAGGCAAGACAACAACATCTCTTTCTAGGCGTTTAACGATGCATAAGCAACAGGGCTCCATTAAGGAACATATAATCTCTTCCCATAATCAAACCATCGCCAGAGAAATCCTAGTAAACAACACAGAAATCATCGATAGATACAGCGATAGCAGGCGGCTTGACGTTTGCGAGGCACTACACATCAAGAAGTCAACACCAGCAATCAACAGCCAATTATTGCACAACTATATTCTACCCACCTCAAGACTCCGCTCCAATATAGAAGCATCAAGAAATATGGACCAATAGGCTTTCTACAACACTTCTATTCAATACCCATTGTTTTCTGTTCTGTCTTGTGTTGATACTTTTAATACCCTATTAATATCCCCTGTTCTGTCTTGTGTTAATGCCACATCATCCTTCCCACCTCACTCAAATGTAGATATAATATCAGAGAGACGTAAGTTCTAATCAGTTGTGTATTTGTGAAGTCTTTGAAAATGTAATAAGTTTTACGAAACGCGCCCGTGTCGCGTCAGACTAGAAATAAAAATGAATTTTGGAGAAGTGATTTTTGATTTACCTCCAACAGTGAAGCGTAATGTACGAAAGATTGAGAAAATTCGTGTTAGAATTATTAATCTTACTTTTTCGGTCATATTTAATAATATATGTCTACAGGAAAGACTGCTACCAAAATATACTAATATATATATATATATATATGTATATATATATATATATATATATATGTCGTACCTAGTAGCCAGAACGCACTTCTCAGCCTACTATGCAAGGCCCGATTTGCCTAATAAGCCAAGTTTTCCTGAATTAATATATTTTCTCTAATTTTTTTCTTATGAAATGATAAAGCTGCCCATTTCATTATGTATGAGGTCAATTATTTTTTATTGGAGTTAAAATTAACTTAGATATATGACCGACCCTACCTAACCTACCTAACCTAACCTAACCTATCTTTATAGGTTAGGTTAGGTTAGGTAGCCGAAAATGTTAGGTTAGGTTAGGTTAGGTAGGTTAGGTAGTCGAAAAAGCATTAGTTCATGAAAACGTGGCTTATTAGGCAAATCGGGCCTTGCATAGTAGGCTGAGAAGTGCGTTCTGGCTACTAGGTACGACATATATATATATATATATATATATATATATATATATATATATATATATATATATATATATATATATATATATATATATATATATATATATATGTCGCACCTAGTAGCCAGAACACACTTCTCGGCCTACTATTTTGTACTTTGGTTTGTGTCTGAACTATATAGTTCCACTTTGCAGTACGAACTTAGAAGGAAGTATTGGGTCAAAGTTCCTTTCGCATTCAGAACTGTGTTGTACGTTCGTGACTCGTACAGCCATTCTCGTCACAGTGTTGACACTCTCTGCATCCCTAAGCCATCGTTCAAAGTCCACGATTAACTGCTCGGGTAGTTATGTGCTCCTCTCAACGCACTGCCACCCATTGAGGGTGTGGACACAATGCGACCCAAACGTCTAAAGATTTGGGCTACTCCTCCTGACGGTCATGCTTTCGGGAAAGCGATATTCTGAAGGTCCTGAAGGACGTTACCAGCATCACACCCACTGACATTCGTCAGGAAGGTGATGATATCGTGCTCTTCTTTTCATGTGAGGAAGAACTAGAAAAACTCTTGATAAATGATGCCATACTTCGCAAGGAGCACCACCTACATCCACACTTCTCACCTCAGATCCTGGTCGGGAGAACTGTTTTTACCAGCAGGACGAGCCAGTGGATCGCTGACCGACCGCAACATAAGATCATGAACAATTTTGAGGACGAAAATCCGAACGTAGGTGTATTCAACCTAGAGTTCTGCAACACTGACAAGTCATCAATGAAGATTACTTTCACCACCATAGCTGCAGTCACCCAGGCTGGCTCACAAGGTTTCTACTGCTTCGGTTTACAAATTCAACCCCACCAAGTGAAAAAGGAATGATACCATGAGCTCCAGCAGTGCGTCAAGTGCTACGAGCTCTCCCACCCCACCAACAAGTGTCAGCACCCCATCCAGAAATGCAGCCTGTGCGAACTGGACCATCACTACTCCGCATGCAAGGCAACAAGAACACATTGCTGTTTGCTCTGCGATGGCAATTTTCTTCCGCTGCCCCTGCAAACAGGAAAACATAAGTCCCAGGTTGAAGTCAAGAGGAACAACCCTTCTACCTCAGCGACCAGAGCCCCAGGCGCTCAACCCACCACCTCAGTTCCCACCAACCCACCAGAAGACTTTCCAGTCTTAACAAATAGTGGCTCCTCCCACCAGGCGACCCCAGTCTTAACAATGCCCCACAGGCTCGTTCGCAGCCCCCTGCATCACGTGCAGGCATTATCCCTGGTCTTATTAGGCAACCACTCTTTTGTAAGTGAACTGAACGCATCAACTTAGCCAATGGCCTGGACCGCATCATAGCCTCTGGTGCAAGTTTCAATGCCTCCACTACCACTCCAGAGACTACCACCAGGACGATCACGAGGTCGATTTCAACACATTCTTCAGAACTACCCATGCCAAACTACCGGTCGGCACAAACAGAGATGTTTCCCTCTCAAGCTCCCATCACTCCTACCATCACCATCTCAGCAATAGCGCTAGCAGACGTGCTGTCTATAAATAATAACAGCACCACCAACGCTCCTGAAATAGTTTCTATCACCAATTCACGACATCTAAGCATACCTCAGGCTGCGAGACTAAAGGGGAAACACCCACTACGGATGTTATGCACTCCTCAGACAAGAAAATTATAGTACGATCTCCACCGCCGCACCACAAATACGACACCTATCCGGTACAAGACCCTGTCATGGAGGCCCACTCACTAAACTCCAACGACAGCATGGCTCAGCCGAAGTCTAAGGCAAAGAAAAAACGGAAGACCTAGAGGCCTATACTAACCCCATCAGCTTCATAACTGGTACAGCCAGCCCTCCAGGGCTGAAATCCACCATGTAGACTCCCCCCCCCCTTCCCCATCCATTCCTGATCTCTAGTATCAGCTGTGGATATAGATAATGGCTCCAAAGAGCCACTTACGGGCACAACATAGCCCGTGCTACTTGGAACTTTTTGTTCTAATAGTAGCTGACTCTAAAACAACAACAACAACAACATTCTCAGGTAGGACTCCTTTTTCAACTTTGGTTCAAACTTGACGTCTGGATATCTCCTCCGCCAGGTAGCAGCCGGATCGCATCCAGTTTTGTGATTTTGGTTTGATACTGCCGTTTAAAATTCCTCTTCATCGGTCAGGTTGTACGACGCCTGACGCACATATTGCCTTAGGTCACGGGATTGTTGATAGGTATTTTTTACGTGTTCTGGCTGGTTCTCCCGGCGGGGTGACGGTGTTCGGCTCCGGCTTGGCTGAGAGGTGCTAGGAGTTTGTGGGTCTTGGTGGGTTCCTGGTGTGCCCTCAGCCGTGGTGGGTGACCAGCTTCTGCTCCATCAGAGGGCACCGGATGACTATTGCGTTTTAGCTGGGGGCCGAGTTTTTGGTTATGTTACCCAGTGTTCTCTGTGTGGGGCGGGGCCGGTGCTTGTCACCGTGGGCGACTCATCGGGCTCCCCAATCATCTGCCTCGCTGCGTTTCTTTGCCGCGAGGCATATTAGTTTTCCAGTGATTGGCGTCGCTCGTTTTGCGATTCGGCTTGGCGATGAACCCTTCACGGGTACGCCGGGGTGCGTCCGATTCCACGATCGTCGTCGGCCCTAAATAAACAACAATAATAATAACTGCTCAGGTAGGAGTTTACTATTCTTTCACAGACCACAAGGAATGGTAACTCTGCAGTTAATTTCCGAAACAACAGTAGGATATCTCTTGCCCTTTTGCTCACTAGTAGAGTAATACTCACTAGAGTACCTGGTACAGACTACACGTATATCAGTTTACTGCCTCGACACATTAATTATTTTGTTTCACCAAGTCCTTATTTAGCATGCAAATAATCCCCAAAAGAACTTAGGTACCAAACCTATCCTACACCTAACTAAATACAAATGTTCAGTATATAATAATATTATTTTATATATGAGAACAAACTTATTTTAATTCACAATGTGTAACAATTGATGAATGCTTCTTGAGGGACGGCCGCTGCTTTAACGAGCCTGACTTGGAGACTGCCTGGGTGCAAACTGTCAAAACCCCCGTGAGTTCATCCTGGAGAAAGTCAATGAACAACCTCAAAGAAACTTAAAAGCAGCCTAACGGGTTTCTTGTCCTTGCCAATGGGAGTCAATAACTAAATTGTAAGCCCAATCCTTTCTGTGCAGATAAAGGAAGATGCAATAAATCAACCAAGCGACTACGAGGTGGTGGATTTCATGTGGAATTACTTCAAGAGCCTCATTGGTAAGGGCGAGGCGTCTTGTGAGCCCACCTCGCAAGACAACGTCACCGTCCAGGAGTTCCCAGATAAAGTCAACAAGTAAGGTTCCTCAGCCAGTTAACAACGTGTCACAGAGTTAACGAGTAAGGTGTCACACACAGATAATAAGTAAAGTGTCATAGACAGTTAATAAGTAAGATTCCTCAGGCAGTTAAAAAGAAAGGTGTTACAGTTAATAACTAAAGTGTCACAGACTGTTAATGCGGTGTCACACAGTTAATAAGGTGTCACAGACAGTTAACAAGTAAGGTGTTACAGAGAGATAAGAAGTCAAGTGCCATAGACAGTTAATAAGACATTTAAGTTAATAAATGTGCCACGCTCAGTTAATAAGTAAAGTGCCAGAGTCAGTAATAAGTAAGGTGCCACAAAAAGTTAAAATTATAAAGTGCCACAGTCGGTTAACAAGTAAGGTGCCAGAGTCAGTTAATAAGTAAGGTGCCATAGACAGTGGTACCTTACTTTTGATTAATTAATCAACAGTAGGGTGCCAGTCATTAATTAACAATTAAGGTCAATCCGGCAGTTAACAAGATTCCTCAGACAGATAAGAAAGTTCTTCAGGCAGATACCAAGGTCCATCAGGCAGTTAACAAGGTTCCTTAGGCAGTTAACAAGGTTCCTCAGGCAGTTAACATGGTTCCTCAGACAGTTAACAGGGTTCGTCAGACAGTTAACAGGGTTCCTCAGACAGTTAACAAGGTTCCTCAGACAGTTACCAAGGTTCTTCAGGCAGTTAACAAGGTTCATCAGGTAGTTAACAAGGTTCTTCAGGCAGTTAACAGGGTTCCTCAGCCAGTTAACAAGGTTCCTCAGACAGTTAACACGGTTCCTCAGACAGTTAACAGGGTTCGTCAGGCAGTTAACAAGGTTCCTCAGGCAGTTAACAAGGTTCCTCAGACAGTTAACAAGGTTCCTCAGGCAGGAAACAAGGTTCCTCAGGCAGTTAACAAGGTTCCTCAGACAGTTAACAAGGTTCCTCAGGCAGTTAACAAGGTTCCTCAGGCAGTTAACAAGGTTCCTCAGACAATTAACAGGGTTCCTCAGACAGTTAACAAGGTTCCTCAGACAGTTAACAAGGTTTCTCATATAGTTAACAAGATTCTTTAGGCAGTTAACAAGGTTCCTCAGGCAGTTAACAAGGTTACTCAGACAGTTAACAAGGTTCCTCAGGCAGTTAACAAGGTTCTTCAGGCAGTTAACAAGGTTCCTCAGTCAGTTAACAAGGTTCCTCAGACAGTTTACAAGGTTCCTCAGACAGTTAACAAGGTTCCTCAGACAGTTAACAAGGTTCCTCAGACAGTTAACAAGATTCTTCAGGCAGTTAACAAGGTTCCTCAGTCAGTTAACAGGGTTCCTCAGGCAGTTAACAAGGTTCCACAGACAGTTAACAAGGTTCCTCAGGCAGTTAACAAGGTTCCCCAGGCAGTTAACAAGGTTACTCTGACAGTTAACAGGGTTCCTCAGACAGTAAACAGGGTTCCTCAGACAGTTAACAAGGTCTTTCAGGCAGTTAACAAAGTTCTTCAGGCAGTTAACAAGGTCCTTCAGGCAGTAAACAAGGTTCCTCAGGCAGTTAACAAGGTTCCTCTGACAGTTAACAGGGTTCCTCAGACAGTTAACAGGGTTCCTCAAACAAGGTCTTTCAGGCAGTTAACAAGGTTCTTCAGGCAGTTAACAAGGTTCTTCAGGCAGTAAACAAGGTTCCTCAGACAGTTAACAAGGTTCCTCAGACAGTTAACAAGGTTCCTCAGACTGTTAACAAAGTTCCTCAGGCAGTTAACAATGGATAATTACCAACGACCTATGATAACTTCATCCGATGTGTTCACCAAACTAATAACGCTCACCTGAATCTGCCTGGAAGCCAATATCATTATCTAGTTACCTCGTTAGGGGGCTGGGATGCCGGCTTCTTGTCAAAGTCACCCCCCCCCCCAGGCTGCGGACCCTTTGATAAGTTTCTCGTTCCTCTCCCGTTCGAGACCATTAGACCCTTAGGTGCCTTTAGGTAAGATCAGTTATACAAACCCCATAAGAGTAATAAGTATGGGTATATGTACTAAATGGACCATTGGTCAACAAATGTTGTTTGTTCACTACAATGTTGGGTGTTTGTAGTTCCACCACCTCCCACCACCACAGCAACACGGAACCCCCGCTCACCTTCTACCCCAGCAACAGGGAACCCCCGCTCACCCTCTACCCCAGCAACAGGGAACCCCCGCTAGCCCACCACCCCAGCAACAGGGAACCCCCGCTCACCCACCACCCCAGCAACAGGGAACCCCCGCTCACCCACCACCCCAGCAACAGGGAACCCTCACTTACCCACCACCCCAGCAACAGGGAACCCCCGCTCACCCACCACTCTAGCAACAAGGAACCCCCGCTCACCCACCACCCCAGCAACAGGGAACCCTCACTTACCCACCACCCCAGCAACAGGGAACCCCCGCTCACCCACCACTCTAGCAACAGGGAACCCCCGCTCACCCACCACCCCAGCAACAGGGAACCCCCGCTCACCCACCACCCCAGCAACAGGGAACCCCCGCTCACCCACCACCCCAGCAACAGGGAACCCCCCTCACCCACCACCCCAGCAACAGGGAACCCCCGCTCACCCACCACCCCAGCAACAGGGAACCCCCGCTCACCCACCACCCCAGCAACAGGGAACACGCACTCACCCACCACCCCAGCAGCAGGGAACCCCCGCTTACCCACCACCCCAGCAGCAGGGAACCCTCATTCACCCACCACCCCAGCAACAGGGAACCCCCGCACACCCACCACCCCAGCAGCAGGGAACCCCCGCTCACCCACCACCCCAGCAACAGGGAACCCCCGCTCACCCACCACCCCAGCAGCAGGGAACCCCCGCTCACCCACCACCCCAGCAACAGGGAACACGCACTCACCAACCACCCCAGCAGCAGGGAACCCCCGCTTACCCACCACCCCAGCAGCAGGGAACCCTCACTCACCCACCACCCCAGCAACAGGGAACCCCCGCTCACCCACCACCCCAGCAGCAGGGAACCCGCACTCACCCACCACCCCAGCAGCAGGGAACCCCCGCTTACCCACCACCCCAGCAGCAGGGAACCCTCACTCACCCACCACCCCAGCAACAGGGAACCCCCGCACACCCACCACCCCAGCAACAGGGAACCCCCGCTCACCCACCACCCCAGCAACAGGGAACCCCCGCTCACCCACCACCCCAGCAGCAGGGAACCCGCACTCACCCACCACCCCAGCAACAGGGAACCCCCCGCACACCCACCACCACAGCAACAGGGAACCCCCGCTTACCCACCACCCCAGCAGCAGGGAACCCTCACTCACCCACCACCCCAGCAGCAGGGAACCCCCGCTTACCCACCACCCCAGCAGCAGGGAACCCCCGCTCACCCACAACCCCAGCAGCAGGGAACCCCCGCTTACCCACCACCCAAGCAACAGGGAACCCCCGCTCACCCACCACCCCAGCAGCAGGGAACCCGCACTCACCCACCACCCCAGCAACAGGGAACCCCCGCTCACCCACCACCCCAGCAGCAGGGAACCCCCGCTTACCCACCACCCCAGCAGCAGGAAACCCCCGCTCTCCCACCACGCCAGCAGCAGGGAACCCGCACTCACCCACCACCCCAGCAGCAGGGAACCCCCGCTTACCCACCACCCCAGCAACAGGGAACCCCCGCTCACCCACCACCCCAGCAGCAGGGAACCCGCACTCACCCACCACCCCAGTACCCCAGCAGCAGGGAACCCGCACTCACCCACCACCCCAGCAGCAGGGAACCCCCGCTTACCCACCACCCCAGCAACAGGGAACCCCCGCTCACCCACCACCCCAGCAGCAGGGAACACGCACTCACCCACCACCCCAGCAACAGGGAACCCCCGCTCACCCACCACCCCAGCAGCAGGGAATCCCCGCTTACCCACCACCCCAGCAGCAGGGAACCCCCGCTTACCCACCACCCCAGCAGCAGGGAATCCCCGCTTACCCACCACCCCAGCAGCAGGGAACCCCCGCTTACCCACCACCCCAGCAACAGGGAACCCCCGCACTCACCCACCACCCCAGCAGCAGGGAATACTCGCTTACCCACCACCCCAGCAGCAGGGAACCCCCGCACACCCACCACCCCAGCAACAGGGAACCCGCACTCACCCACCACCCCAGCAACAGGGAACCCGCACTCACCCACCACCCCAGCAGCAGGGAACCCGCACTCACCCACCACCCCAGCAACAGGGAACCCCCGCTCACCCACCACTCCAGCAACAGGGAACCCCCGCTTACCCACCACCCTAGCAGCAGGGAACCCCCGCTTACCCACCACCCCAGCAGCAGGGAATCCCCGCTTACCCACCACCCCAGCAGCAGGGAACCCCCGCTTACCCACCACCCCAGCAACAGGGAACCCCCGCTCACCCACCACCCCAGCAACAGGGAACCCGCACTCACCCACCACCTCAGCAGCAGGGAACCCCCGCTCACCCACCATCCCAGCAACAGGGAACCCCCGCTCACCCACCACCCCAGCAACAGGGAACCCGCACTCACCCACCACCCCAGCAGCAGGGAACCCCCGCACACCCACCACCCCAGCAACAGGGAACCTGCACTCACCCACCACCCCAGCAGAAGGGAACCCCCGCACACCCACCACCCCAGCAACAGGGAACCCGCACTCACCCACCACCCCAGCAGCAGGGAACCCCTGCTCACCCACCACCCCAGCAGCAGGGAACCCCCGCTCACCCACCACCCCAGCAACAGGGAACCCGCACTCACCCACCACCCCAGCAGCAGGGAACCCCCGCTCACCCACCACCCCAGCAGCAGGGAACCCCCGCTCACCCACCACCCCAGCAGAAGGGAACCCCTGCTCACCCACTTGTCGTGCTGCAGGTTCCTGGACTACGTCAACACTGTGTACTTCGATGGCAGTCTGGACACCAACAGCAAAGACGCCCTCAAGACCTCCATGTACAGGAGCTCTGCACCTCGCCAGGGCAGCGGAATCCGCGGTGCAAGGTACACCAGGGGCTGTATACCAGGGACTGTACACCAGGGGCTGTATACCAGGGACTGTACACCAGGGACTGTACACCAGGGACTGTACACCAGGGGCTGTATACCAGGGACAGTACACCAGGGACTGTACACCAGGGTCTGTACACCAGGGACTGTACACCAGGGGCTGTACACCAGGGACTGTACACAAGGGGCTGTATACCAGGGACTGTACACCAGGGACTGTACACCAGGGACTGTACACCAGGGCCTGTACACCAGGGGCTGTACACCAGGGTCTGTACATCAGGGGCTGTACACCAGGGACTGTACACCAGGGACTGTACACCAGGGACTGTACACCAGGGTCTGTACACCAGGGACTGTACACCAGGGACTGTACACCAGGGACTGTACACCAGGGACTGTACACCAGGGCCTGTACACCAGGGCCTGTATACCAGGGTCTGTACATCAGGGGCTGTACACCATGGCCTGTACACCAGGGACTGTACACCAGGGTCTGTACACCAGGGGCTGTATACCAGGGACTGTACACCAGGGACTGTATACCAGGGTCTGTACATCAGGGGCTGTACACCAGGGCCTGTACACCAGGGCCTGTACACCAGGGGCTGTATACCAGGGACTGTACACCAGGGACTGTACACAAGGGACTGTACACCAGGGTCTGTACACCAGGGCCTGTACACCAGGGGCTGTACACCAGGGTCTGTACACCAGGGACTGTACACCAGGGGCTGTACACCAGGGCCTGTACACCAGGGACTGTACACCAGGGGCTGTACACCAGTGATTGTACACCAGGGACTGTACATCATGGGCTGTACACCAGTGATTGTACACCAGGGACTGTACACCAGGGTCTGTACATCAGGGGCTGTATACCAGGGACTGTACACCTGGGACTGTACACCAGGGGCTGTACACCAGGGGCTGTACACCAGTGATTGTACACCAGGGACTGTACACCAGGGTCTGTACACCAGTGATTGTACACCAGGGACTGTACATCAGGGGCTGTACCCAAGTGATTGTACACCAGGGACTGTACACCAGGGTCTGTACATCAGGGGCTGTACACCAGGGCCTGTACACCAGGGGCTGTACACCAGGGTCTGTACACCAGGGGCTGTACACCAGGGACTGTACATCAGGGGCTGTACACTAGGGGCTGTACACCAGGGACTGTACACCAGGGGCTGTACACCAGTGATTGTACACCAGGGACTGTACACCAGGGGCAGTACACCAGTGATTGTACACCAGGGACTGTACATCAGGGGCTGTACACCAGGGACTGTACACCAGGGTCTGTACATCAGGGGCTGTACACCTGGGCCTGTACACCAGGGGCTGTACACCAGGGTCTGTACACCAGGGGCTGTACACCAGGGACTGTACATCAGGGGCTGTACACCAGGGGCTGTACACCAGGGACTGTACACCTGGGTCTGTACACCAGGGGCTGTACACCTGGGACTGTACACCAGGGGTTGTACACCAGGGACTGTACACCAGGGTCTGTACACCAGGGACTGTACACCAGGGGCTGTACACCAGGGGCTGTACACCAGGGGCTGTACACCAAGGGCTGTACACCAGGGACTGTACACCAGGGGCTGTACACTAGGGACTGTACACCAGGGCCTGTACACCAGGGACTGTACACCAGGGGCTGTACACCAGTGATTGTACACCAGGGGCTGTACACCAGGGGCTGTACACCAGTGATTGTAGACCAGGGACTGTACACCAGGGCCTGTACACCAGGGGCTGTACACCAGGGACTGTTCACCAGGGTCTGTACAACAGGGACTGTACACCAGAGACTGTACACCAGGGGCTGTACACCAGGGGCTGTACACCAGGGACTGTACACCAGGGACTGTACAACAGGGACTGTACACCAGGGACTGTACACCAGGGTCTGTACACCAGGGTCTGTACACCAGGGGCTGTACACCAGGGTCTGTACACCAGGGTCTGTACACCAGGGTCTGTACACCAGGGTCTGTACACCAGGGACTGTACACAAGGTACTCTCAAAAAATAATTAAAATACTCCTCTAAATTTCAGGGACATGTGAATCGTTGCTGCTTTAGAGGTAGAGTCTTAGTTCCCTACTGCCCCCAGCACCATGGTGGTCCCCCTGCAACACTTGGGACCACTACTGCCTCCAGCACCATGGTGGTCCCCCTGCAACACTTGGGACCACTACTGCCTCCAGCACCATGGTAGTCCCCCTGCAACACTTGGGACCACTACTGCCTCCAGCACCATGGTGGTCCCCCTGCAACACTTGGGACCACTACTGCCTCCAGCACCATGGTGGTCCCCCTGCAACACTTGGGACCACTACTGCCTCCACCACCATGGTGGTCCCCCTGCAACACTTGGGACCACTACTGCCTCCACCACCATGGTGGTCCCCCTGCAACACTTGGGACCACTACTGCCTCCAGCACCATGGTGGTCCCCCTGTAACACTTGGGACCACTACTGCCTCCAGCACCATGGTGGTCCCCCTGCAACACTTGGGACCACTACTGCCTCCAGCACCATGGTGGTCCCCCTGCAACACTTGGGACCACTACTGCCTCCACCACCATGGTGGTCCCCCTGCAACACTTGGGACCACTACTGCCTCCACCACCATGGTGGTCCCCCTGCAACACTTGGGACCACTCCTCATCATATGTCATTGGTGATCACCTTAGAGATAATATTATATGGTGATGGGTTGACTGGAGTGCATCCAAACTTTTTGACGACCACCATCCGTCCTCATTAACCGTACCTCTTATAGCCACCCTGCTAAGATTGCACTCAATGTGAACTTTTGCACTTAAAATATAATGTTTGGTTCTATTGATTTGGAAAAGGGCCGAGGAAAGAAGACAAGATTCCACCATCCATCATTAAGTCCAATTTAGAACATATTCATTTATGCATAAAGTTGTGCAAATTTGGCTACAGTTTTATCTCTAGGCCAAAAAAATGTTAAGTTCTTGTTATGGTTAGGCTCTTGTTGATTTTCATAGGCCCATTGCTCTGCTAATACTAATAATAATACGTGTTTTTTTCGGTACAATGGTTTGTTTTGAACGTTGTCCACAGTTGCTATAGGTACAGTTAGTTTAGCTGGACGGGGTGTGAGAATCCAATGTTTTAGTGTGAGTTAATGAGTTGTGTTAATTGTGTTACCACCATCTCTGGCAAGTGCTGATCACTCCTGAGAGCCAGTGAGGTCCAACTCGGACAGTCCTGACCAATCACCTGCCAGTGTGGCCCAGCATTATCAGCTATATTAACAATGTCATTATAGGAGGCTGCAAGATGTCAATAATCTTCACGGTTGTATATAAGTAATTACATACTCGCCTTTCATTGTGGTTTTTCAGCATTAATGTGATCAGCATCATAGATCTATACATATATATATATATATATATATATATATATATATATATATATATATATATATATATATATATATATATATATATATATATATATATATATATATATAAATGCAGATATTTCTATTTCAATTAGTAAACATATATAATCACAAATATTAGTTTTTCATTGTAATGATGAGTTACTTATAATTGGTATAAATATATTGAACTGTTTTCATGTTTTTTTATCTACTTTATATTTTTGGTTGGTATAATGATCATAGTACAGCATACCTGTGCTTAACTTATTGTAATAATCCGCCCAACTATTCCCCCTTCTCTCACTCAATACCCCAGCTTAACAACGCTTGCACTGTGACCCCTCACTGACCTACCAGCTAATATTAGATCTGAAATATTAAATGAAGGGGGAGCAACAGATGAAGGGATTATTGAATTTAATTATAATGAATAAAAAACTTAACCACCTCCCTGACCTCTGAATGCATCTATTACTGATCTCCCAGGAAGGACAGAAATCAATAATCATGAACTCAAGGGCATAGGAACCTTGGCAGATAATGCTTGGGGAATAATTATATCAATCTTTTAATTTACTTATTGAGAATATAGGTACTTCAAATACAGCACATGAATACCACATATAAAAAGAACACATTATTAATAAAAGTGGGTAAACTAAATACTACTAATCCAATATTCACTTTATTTAAAAGACATGTATATTTATTGCAAAATTAAGAAATATACCTTACTCTAATTAAACATCCCTAAGAGGCAAATGGTCTGAGACTACTGAATGACACGGATTTTCAAGTTCACAATACCTTAACTGCAGTACCGGCCACGGGTGTTGAGTGGCTGTCCTCCAGGTTGTTGGACCTGTAGCCAAGTTCCACACCAGACACACTGACTATAATTTCTTTTGACTACCCCAGGGAGGCCTATTGCTTTCCTCATAAGCTTGGCACCAGCTAGGAGCCTATCAATTCAAACCAAGGCACCATTGTCCAAGCCTGGAGGCTTGGACAATGGTGCCTGGTCCTACCCTGGGGGACTCCTCCTCTTGAGACTTCAGTCCAATCACTTGAGCCCCCAGGCCTAATACCCTGGCACCACTAACCAATGAAACAAAAGCTCCTGCCCTTGGCCAATGAAAAGCCTGACATCAGCCCATGGGCGGTCTTCTCACGAAAACTGGAACTAAGCCGTTTCAAGCTTCGTCTCCCACTCATAGAAGAAATTTGAGAACATGGTTTATTGGCACTGAGTTTACTGCTCCTCAAATTCGTCACTGGCTATAGATAGAAGACAAGGCAGAGAGGGGAACAGTTTGGAAAGATTTTAAGGGAGACTGGGGTGACGATTGGAGAGAGGAATTAGGGGAATAGGATTGGGAGGAGGGTTTGGGGAAGGCGGGGACACTGGCCTAAAGGAAAATTTGACTCGAGTAGTTTATGACTGGAGAGGGCCAGACCGTGACAAATGGGAGGGAAGGGGGAAGGAAATAAGGAGAGGGGTGAACAAGGGAAGGTAAGACTATGAAGGCAATGGGAGCGGGGAGAAAGGGGAGAGGGGGAGAAGCCATGATCTGAGCACATATCTGTTCAACTCCTTCTCTTTGGAATTAAGAAATTTGAGTGTTGATCTCTTTAAAGCACAAATTTCTTATCCTGCCTCACTATAATCATTAACTCCAAAAAAATAAATAAAAAAATATATTTAACCCAACAATATAGTGACCCAATGCCTCAAAACAAATTAAATTATCTAGCCTAACTAATTTCATAATATTTCCAAACACAAAAAATAGCAACCCAAAAGGTGTGCCTCAACATGTATGAAATACATAACACATAACAAAACAACACAACAATAAAACAGGTGGACAACTTGGATGCAGCCCTATACCCTTCCAACTACCTGGAAGACAAAACATCCTATACCTGTCCTGATATAGGAAAAATCAACTGTAAAACTTCCATACCTATCAATTTACAAGTAGCAAAATTATGGGATAGTCCTCAGCTATCAAGGTATTCCTCCTGGAATCAAAATCAACCCATCACATAAAATCGAAACATTAAAATAAACAAAAGAAATTAAGTAAAAAAAATTGTCAAACAAAAATATTCAAATAGAGGAACATTGCCTCTCAGGGTCCTAGTGTTCCACTCCACAGCTGTGGCAAGAGCCCACCACACCATATCTGGGTCCTTAAAATCTAAAGAAAACAAAAATATTGTTTTTTTTTTAAATAAATCTTCATTTCCGTGAACATGGAGACATGTCCACGGACATGTCTCTATGTCAACGGACATGTCTCTTAAAATAATCAAAATCCACTGGCTATAAGTCTCTAAAAATCCTGATATCCCAGTGTTCTTACTCAGTCCACTGCACAGTGGGTTGTTATAAGTCTCCACAAAAAATTTAATAAAAAAAATATATATATATATATATATATATATATATATATATATATATATATATATATATATATATATATATATATATATATATATATATATATATATATATATATATATATATATATATATATATATATATATATATATATATATATATATATATATATATATATATAACTGAAAACTCACACCCCAGAAGTGACTCGAACCCATACTGCCAGGAGCAACGCAACTGGTATGTACAGGGACGCCTTAATCCGCTTGACCATCACGACCGGACAAAAGGAAGTGATAGCCGAAGCTATTTGAACCACTTCCCCGCCGGCACTCGGATGGTAATCTTGGGCATAGCATTTAAGGCGTTTCTGTGTGCTTTTCTCCTACCACCCCCTTCCTTTTTTTTTTTTTGCTTTATTGTGTATTTAAAGGGTACAAAACATACAAGACAAATGCCTAAAGGTAATGGATCTCTTGAAGCTCCTCTTCTTCCGGACAGGAACCGAGGACGCAGCAAGCATTTCCCCTCTGGATCGCTACACTGAGACGCTGAAACAAAAAACTGGAAGCCCTTGGGTCTCTGGTGACGGCAATGAGCCTGGAACCCAATTCCTTGAGAAATCCTAAGGCACTCTTGCCCCAGGGGCCACGCGTCTCAGACGCTATGGGAACAAAGAGGTATTGACCTTCCAGTCGTCTGTACTTGAGTGATTTTGCTGTTTCCCTGTGGTTGGCCGCCCCACCTGCTTGATCAGCTCCGAAGTGTACATAGGTTTCAGCCAGGGTGGATACACATGTGTAGTCCCACACCAAGTGTCTACCCTCCTTCCATGAGTATATGGTGATACCATCAGGGCGAAGTGCGGGGAAATCCAGGTTTTGGACCTAGGATGCGAGGTTCTCTCTTCGCTGGGCACCCAGCTGCGACGAGGCTTCTCTTGATGATGTCATTGACCTCGTTGTGTCTTGCATGCCAGCCCTTTGTGCTTCCGCAATGCAACCCATGCAGTCCGTATTGGTCTGCTTCCACCCTGTTGCAAATACACTTGTATTCAGTGTGAATTGGGGCACCAAGGCAGAGGGCCACTGCTACACGAAGGGATTCTGGATCTAGGCGCGTGCCCATTGCTGACATGGGTACTGCCAGGAGGAAGTCTCCTGCATGGGGTGTACGCACTGCTCTGAGGCGGGCTTTCTCCTTGTCTGATGTTGCGGCGCTGAGCATGGCATCAGCTACTTTTTCCACTAGAGGGTGGTCCCAGCCGGACTGTTTGTGTTGTTTTGTTGGCTCTATAATGGTTGCTGGGGCTGCAAGAACATCCCACTGATTTGAACATTCAGTGAAAGCAGGATCGTGTATTCCTGCTGAATCTCTCAGGGTTGCAGGTAAAATCTCTCTGATGAGGTCGTGCGATGCGTGGGAAGAGGAAAGGAAGGCTGGTAGAGCAATTTGGGAGGCTGTGCGGACACCAAGGCAGCAGAGTCTTACAGGAAGGGTTGCTTGCTCCCACTGAGAGTCGTCCAATGGCAGGTTCAGGTCTTTCACCAGCATGGACCTCAGAAGGGTGTCATACACATTTAACTTAGGGCTGCTGTAGGATGGAGAACATCTCAGAAAGTAGGTCAACTTAGGGAGAGACAGGCATCTTGTGAGGAGAAAGAGAGCATCATGGGCATCAATCTTGTCAATCCTGTCCAGCATTCTCTTTAGATCAGTGATTTTTGCAGCCAGGACCTCCTCGATTGCTCGTGGGCCAATGGGGGCACCCAAGAGAGTGCAGTCCGGTGGCTCGACAACGAGAATGTCTGGAAGAACATTTTGTATTTGCCCAGTGATGTTTGGGTTGTGGGAGATTATTTCCCATTTGGATGTATCGAGAATGAGGCCTAAGGCTGCTCCCTGTTTCTGGATTTTCCTTATATCCTCCAAAATGGTTTCCGGGGTTCTAGCGAGAGTGCCATCATCCAGGTACCAGATGTTTAGCTCGCTTGACAGACTATCAGTGACCTCTTTGATAGCTAGGCAGAAAAGGAGGGGGGCTAAGGGGTCACCTTGTTGAACACCTTCACAGGAGTTTGTTTCATGTTCCCCAAAAAGAAGCTTAGAGTCTCTACTGTAGCACGATCAGAGGAATGGGTAAAGGGGACGGAAATGGTTGTGTACAGCCCTGAGGACAGCGTCTCGTCTGACTTGATTGAAAACATTTTTGAAGTCAAGCTTTACTAGTGCCTTCTGGTCCGGGAGATCAGCAATGTAAGCCCGCGCTGCATGTGCTGCAGCTTCACAACCTAGGGCAATCCCAAACCCGAGCTGATGAGGTTTCAGCAAGGTGGCTGCTTCCTGGCTGATAGATCTCACTGCTGCCCTAGCTACGAGGCGTCGGAGGGTGTTGCCAACGGCAATGGGCCTGATACTCCTATCCTTCTATACCCCTATATATATATATATATATATATATATATATATATATATATATATATATATATATATATATATATATATATAGGGTTTATAGGATACCTCTATATATATATATGCCGTACCTAGTAGCCAGAACGCACTTCTCAGCCTACTATGCAAGGCCCGATTTGCCTAATA